GGTATGATTCTCGCTTAGGGTGCGAGAGGTCCCGGGTTCAAATCCCGGACGAGCCCATCTTTTCCTGAAAGTGTCATGACTTTAAAACGTCATCAAACAATATCTCAGATTAGACTGTTTTGTCCCATAAATGTAGAATGTTCTCTTCTGAAGTTGTCAATAACTTATTAAGAGATAAGGAGAAAATATTGAAGGGGGAAGAAGAAATAGCACTCAAATAAGATCTATCATTTCAGAAAAAAAGATAATCAAAGATAATAAAACTCGGGAGCTATAATTAGTTCAAGGCTAAGTCACTAGTGGATTATACTCTGTAGTCAGCAACATCAGGAGGTTTTTATAGGTCATCACAACAGAAGCGTGAGTAAAAAATGCAATATTTAATATAGTAATAACAATAGCAGGTAAAGTGACTAGTGGGACAAACTCCCAAATTTTATGAAACTACTTAATTTTGAGATTTTCAAATTAAAGCTTTACTTTTTGACATCCAAACCAATCAAATTCTGAGAAATTCCCCCAAAGAATAGTTTAGTTTTTTATGTATTATGTGAGGTTTTTTTGTTTGCCTTTACCCACAAGTGCAGACCCAGTCCAGGACCAGGACCGTGGAGAAAGGGGGCGTCAGAGTCTAAATAATAATGCATCACATGCGATGCCGTAGACCAGAGGTTTCCAAACCGGTCCAGAAAAGACAGCTGTGGCTGCACGTTTTCTATCAAACCCAGTAAGAGCAGAGCAGACTTCACCCATTGCTTCAAATCTTCAGGTTAAGACTGAACTGACTTGAGGAAATGTTGGTTGCCAAGCGACCAAAAATTGCTGCTTACAGTATAAATTCACACCTAAATTAATGGAGGTAAAGGTGGAACTCCTCAGATTAAAATGAAATAAAATATAATTTTGTAAAAATAAGGACATAGAAATAAACTAAAAGAGTCAAAGATCACAGATGTACAAGTAATTACTGTACACTTGCAAAACTAGAACCTGTCAATACGATACATTTTTAATAAAAACATATTTATTGTTCTATTTACTATACTATCAGTGGCTCAGTAGGTAGAGCACTGGCCTTTGATGGGTTCGTTCCCCTCATGAGGCCTTCTCCACCGAGTTCCAAGGATGTCTGCTGTCGTTGTGTACTTAGGCAAGACACTTAACCCAACTTTGCCTGAAGCTCCCACTGAAAGATCAAGGCCTGTGTCGTCAATGACAGAGCAGCCATCCTCCTGTGGACTCCCCACTTGCAGGAGGATCAGTGAGGGGCTGGTGCTCTGTGAACTTGGTGCAGCTCAGCTCAGGAGCATGTAAACATGAGTGTAGTGCATCCAGGAAGTGAAAAGGGGGGATCAATATGTAGGTCTGTGGTCCTGAAGTCCACAATCATCTCCACTGTCTTCTGGATGTACTCAGTTTCACAGCAATAACAAGCTTTTTGGCCAATTTTGATGTTTTAGGGTTTCACAGTGTTTGGAGGTTTGGAGGACATATACAAAACAACTTTAACCCAAATACTCAGTGCCACAGCTATTACAAGCTTTTTGTCCCATTTTGATTGGCCAAAAACCAGCTGGTGTCCTGGTTATTACCACTGCACAGGACACCATCAGCCAGTCCACCTCCTCTTGGAGCACACACCAGCAAATAGAAAGCAGTGATACAGTATATCACGATAATACAAGACAAACTTTATTGATCTCACAATGGAAATGTACATAATCATGAATGTGTTATGACATATGAGTTATTTACAGGTGTATTTGTTACGGTACATGAAGGAATCCCTTGTGGAATGTCATACATTTTAAACTTTTTCTGATGCTGATATCCGATGTGAACTGACACCAGTAACAAACCGCAGCAACAAACTTATTTTGATACAAGTCCAATTGTGTTTCAAATGTTATCTATCCTAAAAGAGTGATGTTAAAAGTAAATAGATTGTATAGATGTATACATTAGATGTATATTTATACAACTTAAACATATTACAGGGTCCTTTAGTTCTCCTAATCAGTTCATTTGAAATGGTCAAAACACAACTATTTCTGGAGTAGTTTACCAACTCCACACATGAGGCTGACTCAGTCTCTGACTCAGATGATGCAGATGAACTGCTGCAGTTCTGTGTGAGCAGGAGTCAATGTGACACAACAGCGCCATCTGCTGGGGGAAGCGCTCCATGCATCAGTCACCTTTCTTTGGGAGTTTAACCTGAGACTTTATGAAAGAAAAAAATCGATGTCCAGTATCACTGTAAAAGTTGCTGTGTGTGTGTGTGTGTGTGTGTGTGTGTGTGTGTGTGTGTGTGTGTGTGTGTGTGTGTGTGTGTGTGTGTGTGTGTGTGTGTGTGTGTGTGTGTGTGTGTGTGTGTGTGTGTGTGTGTGTGTGTGTGTGTGTCTGCGTGCGCGCGTGTGTGCGTGTCCTATCTCGTACGTGTGACGCAGCGCTCCTGCCTCTTGTTGCCATGTGCGCGTTGCTAGGGCTAGTGCATCTTTTGAATGACTGCATCCTGAAAATCTCTGGCTGTGACACAAAGTATTTTTGTCAAACTTTACTCGAGGATTTCTTCGACCAGGAGACATCACTGCAGACCATTTCCACCCAGACTGCTGCTGACCCACTCCTGACCACAACTACTGGACTTTTCTGAGTAAAACACGTGAGCTTTTCCACTGTCCATGTTCAACTTAGCCATACAGGTTTGGCCCATGTTACCCAGACAGTTTGAAAATATCAAAACAAACAAAACAAAATGCAAGTTAAGATGGATAGATACTTTACTGATCCCATGAGGGGAATTTCAATATTAGACATCAAGCCTCTTCTTAAATCAGTGCAAATGTGATGGATGGACAGCGCAAGGCAACATTTCAGAACCAGAAAACAACAATGAATGAGAAATATCAGAGACATTAGTAGTCTCTTGGGTTTGCAGGCACTGATACTTCAGGTTCAGGAGTGAGAGAGGTGAGAGAGAGACCAGAGAGAGAGACCAGAGTGGGACCAAAGCTAGACCAGAGTGAGAGGAGAGAGTTGAGAGAGAGACCAGAGAAACCAGTGGGAACAGAGAGAGAGAGAGAGACCAGAGAAACCAGTGGGAACAGAGAGAGAGAGAGAGAGACCAGAGAAACCAGTGGGAACAGAGAGAGAGAGAGAGAGAGAGACCAGAGAAACCAGTGGGAACAGAGAGAGTTGAGAGAGAGACCAGAGAAACCAGTGGGAACAGAGAGAGAGAGAGAGAGACCAGAGAAACCAGTGGGAACAGAGAGAGAGAGAGAGACCAGAGAAACCAGTGGGAACAGAGAGAGAGAGAGACCAGAGAAACCAGTGGGAACAGAGAGAAAGAGAGAGAGACCAGAGAAACCAGTGGGAACAGAGAGAGAGAGAGAGAGAGAGAGACCAGAGAAACCAGTGGGAACAGAGAGAGTTGAGAGAGAGACCAGAGAAACCAGTGGGAACAGAGAGAAAGAGAGAGAGACCAGAGAAACCAGTGGGAACAGAGAGAAAGAGAGAGAGACCAGATAAACCAGTGGGAACAGAGAGAGAGAGAGAGAGACCAGAGAAACCAGTGGGAACAGAGAGAAAGAGAGAGAGACCAGAGAAACCAGTGGGAACAGAGAGAGAGAGAGAGAGAGAGACCAGAGAAACCAGTGGGAACAGAGAGAGTTGAGAGAGAGACCAGAGAAACCAGTGGGAACAGAGAGAGAGAGAGAGAGAGAGAGACCAGAGAAACCAGTGGGAACAGAGAGAGTTGAGAGAGAGACCAGAGAAACCAGTGGGAACAGAGAGAGTTGAGAGAGAGACCAGAGAAACCAGTGGGAACAGAGAGAGAGAGAGAGAGAGAGACCAGAGAAACCAGTGGGAACAGAGAGAGAGAGTTGAGAGAGACCAGAGAAACCAGTGGGAACAGAGAGAGAGAGAGAGACCAGAGAAACCAGTGGGAACAGAGAGAGTTGAGAGAGAGACCAGAGAAACCAGTGGGAACAGAGAGAGTTGAGAGAGAGACCAGAGAAACCAGTGGGAACAGAGAGAGAGAGAGAGAGACCAGAGAAACCAGTGGGAACAGAGAGAAAGAGAGAGAGACCAGAGAAACCAGTGGGAACAGAGAGAGTTGAGAGAGAGACCAGAGAAACCAGTGGGAACAGAGAGAGAGAGAGACCAGAGAAATACTAGAGAGACTTGCCGTAGTCCGAGCTGCTGTTTGTCGGAGCGTCATCTGTAAACTGTGATATTTAAATAAACCGGAAACAGCAGTTTATTTGTTCTGTTTTTATTTTAGATAAACAACGATACACTCTGGGAAGAGACAAGCTTTTTCTGTGGTCCTGGTATTGTTCTTGTTTAGTTCTCTTTTAGTTCCTGTTCAGTCCTAGCCTGGCCTTACCCATGGATCTATTATAATAACTGGTCTTACCACACCATCATACTAATTTCATTTCGTACTTGGTCTGGATTTGCTCAATTGCGGTGGGAGGTGGGAACTCCTTTTGCAGATTTAAACTATTGGATCTGAGTCTACTGTGACGTATGTAATGCGCCCGAGTGAGACAGGCATTTAGCATTTAGCCTTGCTTTAGCGTTTAGCTTAGCTTTAGTCTTCTCCTTTGACACTAACGGAGCTGGTGGGGAGTAAAGCCACAACATCTTTGCCAGCACTGAAATTTGCTAAACATTTCTCTTGCTCCGGCTTCAATTTCTTGATATTTGGAACCGAAACAGAACAGTTTACTTTACTATTGCATTCACCGCCATTTCCAAACTAAAACCAGCAAATTCTTGATGTCATGACATCTACCTACAACACCCGCCTCTCCCGCTCGCTGATTGGTCGGAGGGGATACAACCCCACAGCCACTGATCAGACCAGACGTACATGTAGGGAAATTATAATTGACCGGAATTTACAGATGGCAAAGGCCAGGCTAGTTCAGTCCTGGTTTAGTACTGGTTCTGTCCTAGTTCAGTCCTGGTTCAGGCCTGGTTTAGTCCTGGTATCAGTCCTGGTTCAGCCCTGGTTTAGTCCTTGTCCGGCTCCGGAGTGGTTCTCTGCAGAAGTCTTCACTCAGCTCAGACTCTGACATCATGAGGCTGGAATTGTGTTCAGTGCTACGGTGTTTCAGACCTGAGGAGAAAGAGGAGAAAAGGAGAGGAGCAGAAGGAGAGGAGCAGAAGGAGAGGAGCAGAAGGGGAGAGGGGGGAGAAGGAGAGTAAGAGGGGGAGGAGATGGAGGAAAAAAATCAGACTGAGATCACATGTGCAGAGTGTTGATGAAGAGGGAGCAGCGTCTGACATCAGAGCTCCCACCCTCACTTATGGTCAAGAGCTTTATGGAAGGACCCAAAGGACCAGCTGAAGGAAGGGTCTAGGGAGGGGGAAGTCTGGAGGTTTGTGTTCAGACTGCTGCCCCCGTGATCTGGCATCGGGTAAAGTGGAAGAAAAGCATGAAAAGGAAAACGAATAATAACGATCACTGCAGCTCTGATGGGACAGATCTACACAGAGTCAGGAGGAGGAGGTCATGAGGAGGAGGTCAAGAGGAGAAGGTCATGAGGAGAAGGTCCTGAGGAGGTCAGGAGGAGGAGGTCAAGAGGAGAAGGTCATGAGGAGAAGGTCCTGAGGAGGTCAGGAGGAGGAGGTCATGAGGAGGAGGTCATGAGGAGGAGGTCATGAGGAGGAGGTCATGAGGAGAAGGTCATGAGGAGAAGGTCAAGAGGAGGTCAGGAGGAGGAGGTCAAGAGGAGGTCAGGAGGAGGAGGTCATGAGGAGGAGGTCCTGAGGAGATCAAGAGGAGGAGGTCATGAGAAGGAGGTCAGAAGGAAGAGTTTAGGATGAGGTCAAGAGAAGGAGGTCAAGAGGATGAAGTCAAGAGGAGGAGATCATGAGGACGAAATTAGGAGGAGGTCAAGAGGAGGAGGTCATCAGGAGGAGGTCATGAGGAGGTCATCAGGAGGAGGTCATGAGGAGGTCATCAGGAGGAGGTCAGGTGACTCACTGAAGCGCGGCCGTAGCTCCACTCGTTCCTGTTCGTCCACGTTATCCAGAATCGTGTATCGAGTTTTTCTTCGCACTCGACTGGGTCTCCTCCTGCAACCAGACCAAAAACCAGGTCTAAACCAGGCCTGGACCAGGTCTAGACCAGGTCTAGGACCAGGTCTGGACCAGGTCTGGGCCAGGTCTGGGCTAGGACTCACTTCCGGCAGCAGCACATGAAGGTCCAGGCCGCAGTGAGGATGAGGAGAACCAGGATGAAGCCGCTGAGGATCACGTACACCACTCTCCACTCTGACACAGGAACACAGGCGCTGAAGCAAGCTCCTCCCCCTCCCTCACCCCAGTCTCTCTCCCTCCTCACCCCTGAACCCCCCCAGTTTCTCTCCCTCCTCACCCCTGACCCCTCCCTCACCACAACTGCTCTCTCCCTCCTCACCCCTGAACCCCCCTCACCCTGCTCTCTCCCTCCTACTGCCCCCCCTCCTCCACTCACCACAGTTGCTCTCTCCGTCCCCCATGTAGGTCTTCAGCAGGTTTTCGGTCCAGAACGGGTCGCAGACACAGGACCTGGAGACCGGGTCACACTGGCCCCGCCCCGAGCAGTGTAGCTGACAGACTGAGGAGACACAGGCATCAAAGAGAGCCGCAAGCGGACATGAACGACCCACGTCATCACCAAACTGCCCCTTCTCCCTTGCCTTTCTGGTCGTGAGGCTGTATAAAATAGTCTGGACCAGGTCTCACCCACAGTGTCCACACGCAGAACTCTGAAGAGCAGGAAGTCTGTCCCGTCGTCAAGGAGACGAGTCTTCAGCCGAGAGACCACAGAGAGGCCAGAGACCGCACCAGACCCGGACCGGACTGAGAGGCGCAGCACTGTACTGGAGCAGAGAGAGGAGACCAGGGTTAGACCATAGACCAGGAACTAGAGACCAGGGACTAGAGATCAGAGACCAGAGACCAGAGACCAGAGACCAGGGACTAGAGACTAGAGACTAGAGACTAGAGACTATAGGGAAAAAGGACCAGAGACCAGACTCTAGAGGCCAGGGACTAGAGACTGTAAATCAGAGACTAGAGACCAGGGTTAGACCAGGTTACCTACATGGTCAGAGTTACCTGAGCTGGGCGTGGCCAGAGAGTCCCCTCAGTTGGACGTCGGTCTTTGGGACCTGGAGCAGAGCTGAGATCTGACTGAGAATGGTGTCCTTCTGAGACACGCTGACCTGAGGACAAAAAACACACAAAAAGCAGATTCTAACAGAATAATATGACCTAAATATAGAAGATATTTAAAAAGAATATAGAATACACTTAATTAACAAGAATATAGAATACATGTTTAAAGAGAATATAGAATTTATATTTATGAATCTATACATAATAATAAATAGAACAATTATGAAAAAAGCCAAAAATTAAAAAGTTGTGATGGTGGGGCTTAAACTGTGGTGTGGGAGGAGCTTAGACTCACCTGGGACACGCCCACCTGAAGCTCCATCTCCACCTCCTCTCCTCCTCCATCTTCTACAAACACAATCAGAAACATTTCCTCATTGGTCAGAGTATAATTGGGTTGTACTGTAAGTGAAAATTCTGAAAACTCTCTGTGGTCTCTCTCTGGTTTTTATGGTCTCTCTCTGGTTTCTCGTCTCACCTGGTAGGACCTCCACGGTGGCAGTCGCACTGGCCCTTCTGCCCAAAGCATCGGTGACTCGCAGGTGGAACAGGTATGAACCCTGAACCAGATTCACCAGGACCAGGGTGGGACTGGACTGAGACCCAAACAGCACATCCTACAGAGAGACATGGTTACATCGGGTCCAGACCAGTACCAGAGTGTTATCAAACATCAGGATATATACATTTCCCAAACTTTGAATATCTCACAGAAGGACTGTTCAATCCATTATTCAGAAATTAAAAGAGTATGGACCACTGCAAATTTACCAAGACACAGCTGTCCACCTAAATAACAATTCCAACAAGGAGGGCACTGATACCAACAAGAGGTCCTTGGTCACTGGAGGAGATACACTCAGAACTGAACCAGGACTCACCCCAGCGGCTGGGCTCTGCAGGTCCCGGCTCCACTCCCACCTCACAGTCGCTGGGTCCACGTTGGTGACGGAGCCTCGGAGCTGCAGCGAAGTGTCGGGGAGGAGCAGGGTGTAGCTTCCCCCAGCGTGAGCCACGGGGGAGGGGCCTGGGCCTGGTTTGTGGTTTGGGTCTTTGGGTGGGTCTGAGCCTGGATCTGGGTGGGCTGCAGACACAGGGTAGACAGGGGGAAGGTTAGAGAGGTGAGTTTCTGTGTGAATGGCCCATGTGGGAGGAGTAACCTGTGGGGGAGGGGCAAACAGCTGTAGGTGGAGCTGAGGGCGGGGCTTTCACAGAGTCTGAAACAAAAGAACCAATGAGAACAAGCTCTGACATCAGCAATAATGGCCGTTCATGAGCTGCACCTGTGTGGAGGCTCTGAGGAGGCGGGGCATCAGGAGTATCACCTGTGTGGAGGCTCTGAAGAGGCGGGGCATCAGGAGTATCACCTGTGTGGAGGCTCTGAGGAGGCGGGGCATCAGGAGTATCACCTGTGTGGAGGCTCTGAGGAGGCGGGGCATCAGGAGTATCACCTGTGTGGAGGCTCTGAGGAGGCGGGGCATCAGGAGTATCACCTGTGTGGAGGCTCTGAAGAGGCGGGGCATCAGGTGTAACGCTCAAAGACTCTGAACCAATCACAGCAGAGTATTTACAAGTGTTGTATGAGTATGAATATTTTTCATAGAGCCGCGGTTACACTCTGATAGCGGAGGTTACATGAACAGACCTGAGGAGGCGGCGTTACTGACAGGAAGTGATGTCAGCGCAGACACAACAGGAACAGGTGATGTCTTTTCCTGGTTGGAGTGAGTGGGCGGGGCTGACGAGGCAGGGGGAGGGATCTGTGAGGTCACCTGACAGGAAGTGAAAGCAGAAAGTTTTCTGTCTGACCAATTAGAGCGGAGTTCAGCGAGAGGCTCAGGACTCACCGCCACCTGCAGAGGGCGCTGTGGCTGGTCTGTGGGTATGGTCTCGTTCGCAGTCTGTGATTGGTTGAGCTGTGATTGGTTGAGCCCGTTCTTGAGCTGTGATTGGTTGGCAGGGTCTGTTTCCAGGTTGCTGTGGGGATAGTCCATCAACAGGTCTGAAAACAGGAAAATACAAATATAGTTCAGGTTCTGGTGTCATTAGTCACTTTACAATTTACAGAAATAGTCCCATTAAAATCACTAGTCTGTCTGTTTTGTCTCACTTTCCGGTATCTCTCTGATCTCTCTCTGGTCCCGCTCTCCACTCTGGTCTTTATCTCACCACTGTCTTTCTCTCTCTCTTTGGTCTCGTTCTCTTGTCTCTCTCTCTCTCTCTCTCGACTCTCTCTCTCTCTTGTGTCTCTCTCTCTCTCTCTCTCTCGACTCTCTCTCTCTCTCTCTCTCGACTCTCTCTCTCTCTTGTGTCTCTCTCTCTCTCTCTCTCTGGCCTCTCTCTCTCTCTCTCTCTCTCTCTCTCTCTGGTCTCCCTCTAACCCTAGTCCAAAAATAGTCAGTCTGACACAAATATGTACTGAACGGCCGTTTCCACGGGCTCGACTCAACTCGACTTGAGTGATTGACAGCGCCTCTGACAAATTACAATTGACGTTCGCCAACGTCAGATTGTTAGAGTAGCAGCTAAAGCGAGCCAGTGCAAATGCCCGCATATCAGGGAGAGTCGAGTTAAGTTGAGCCGAGCCCATGGAAACAGGCCTTTTGATGCATTCATTTAAATCACTACAATAAAAATTAGACTCTCTGACTCAGCCCAAAGAGTCAGATAGTGACTCACGGGGCTCTTTCTCTCACAAAATAAAACTTATCACATTTTACTTTTACAAAACTCTCTCTGTTGGACAAACTACATGTTACTTATGAAACTTTTCATAACTGAAAGTTATAATCCCCAGCTTTAACCAGGTGATACCTGGTCCTGGTCTCACCTGGGTCCGTGTAGTCCTGCTGTGATCCGAGTAGAACCAGATCTCTGAGGTCCTCCAGGTCTCCAGGCTCAGAGGACTGAAACTGATCCCAGAACTGTGGACGCAAAAACCAGATCTGAACCAGGTCTTGAACTAGGTCTGAGCAAGGACTGAACCTGATCTGGACCAGGTCTGAACCAGGACTGAACCAGGACTTAATCAGGACTGAACCAGTTGTCTGTATGGTTCCATAGCATATAGCTTGTTACGCTGTCATTATACAAAGTATTATTCCTCATGTAACCTTCTTCCCCTGAGCCACTGTTTGGTTTTATCGTGTGGACATGTACTCTCACCTGTGGAGGCAGCAGAGCAGGGCCCCTCCCCTGCTGAGAGCCCCTTTCTCTCTGCAGGAACACGAGCTGTGACTGGGCCCCTGGGCGTCTCTGCGGCTCGCACAGCTCCCTCTGGTGGCAGGACAGAACGTAGCAGCTGCCCTCGAACAGCCAAGCCACGTCCGCCCAGGGCAGAGCACAGGCTGCGTCCACACAGCGCATCACGGAGGAGGCCGAGGGCACGCGCAGCAGAGCAGGACGTCCGAGGGCCACCGGGGGCAGCACCGAGGAGGGGAATGAGGGCCCAGAGGAGCACCAGGGCTGCACCGCTGAGAGGAAAGAGAGATAGAGAGAGAGAGAAATAGGGGGGTCATCAGAGTCAAATCGTCCTGTTCATCAGAGCCAAAATGTCCTGTTCTCAGCTTCTGCCCATGTTCACACTCACAGCTGTTTTAGAGTCATCTAAATTATCTCACACCTGAGACACCATTGCTCCATCTGGACAAACAGGATTATTAGAATAAGAGATGATCAGGATAAGCCATCAGGAAGTGTGAAGAGACCAGAGAGAGACCAGAGAGAGACCAAAGACTGACCAGAGAGAGACTAGAGAGAGAGACCAGAGACAGACCGAAGAGAGACCAAAGACTGACCAGAGAGAGACTAGAGAGAGAGATCAGAGAGAGAGACCAAAGACTGACCAAAGACTGACCAGAGAAAGACCAGAGAGAGACCAGAGAGAGAGAGACTAGAGAGAGAGACCAGAGAGAGAGACCAAAGACTGACCAAAGACTGACCAGAGAGAGACCAGAGAGAGAGAGAGACCAGAGAGAGAGACCAAAGAGAGACCTAAGACTGACCAGAGACCAAAGAGAGACCTAAGACTGACCAGAGAGAGACCAAGAAAGAGACCAAAGAGAGACCCAAGACTGACCAGAGAGAGACCAGAGAGAGAGACCAGAGAGAGACCGGAGAGATGGACCAGTCCCTGAACGTCATCTAACTGCAGAAATGATCCAAACGGATTTGGGGGAAGACAGAATTCCTCATATTCAACAAGTTTGAGAATAGAGAGTTTACACAGAAGGGGCGGGGGGATGTTTTTCACCTGTGAGCCAGAGCAGCAGCAGCGCAGCAGACGCCCACATGATCAGTCTGAAACACAAACACATCATTTACACATCAATATGCCAATTCATACATACTAAATCTCCTTTCACTTTTAAGTTATTAAGAAATATGTCAAAATTGAGCCTCTTGGGAAATAACCTCTGGCGCCTAAAGGGTTTACCTGACGTGTTGCTGTTTTATTCAAGTATTTCCACTATTATAAGCTAGTAAGTAAGTAGCCTTTATTCATATAGAGCATTTTACAGAGCAAGCTTTACAATGCTTTGAGTTCAGATATTCTAACATAAGATATAAGATATGCTAACATCATTTATTTGATTGAAACCTGCAGATGTGTGAGTGACTGGCATTGTTTATGTGTGCAAGAGTTTGGAAACTATTGATAAATGTGCTCCACAAATAAATTGGATTGGATATTTCGTTATGTTGCGCTAATTTAAGGAACTTGTAACAGCCCTTTAATTATATGAAGTTGATGAAGCCAGAGACACGACCTGCAGCTGAAGAAATCCCATTTTTCAGTACTTATCATTCGGGCTTTTCCTGTTTCTGTTTCAGCACCACGTGGAGGACAGCGCCTCCAGACTCTGCATCAACAATCTCCCGAACACATAAACCAGAACCACGTTAACAATGAAGTACTTTTAACGTTCCATTCCAAATATTGGAAAAACTCCCCGGTGTGTGTGTAAAAAGTGACATTATTTTTGTATTAAAACATTTTACGCACAATTCGGTTGGAATAATTGAACTAAAAACAATTTAACAAATAATAATCCACGCACTTGGGTAGGTCAGAACAGACGAAGCCTTTTAACGTAAAGCACACACGTAAATAGAATTGAGCTGTGGACCTGCACAGCTTACAGACGCGTTCGAGGAGAATTTAACGGAATATTATTACATTCAAATTGCGATAATTATCCTTAAATTACAGTATGAGCGATACATAAAACTGCAGGCTAAAAGCCACGTTTGGTCAATGGAGTTCTAAACTGATGACGCGGCATTTAGAATAAGCCATAACAGAGAAAAAACATTGGATAAATCTCGGGTTTATTAATATCAAAAAGCACGTGATGCATTTGACATTAAAGAAAGGAAAGGTTAAGAAAATATATGTCGTAATAAATGGTAAAAACAGTAGAGAGGCGGGTTTTGACTGTGTGTGTACCTGCATATGGAGAAGCCTGCTCCATGAGATCCGGTCCAGGCCTGGTCTAGACCTGGGCCAGACCTGGTTCAGAGTCCGGTCTGTGTGATGAGTGTTTTATCGGTCCAAACGCTCAGGTGGAAATGTCATGATTCACCACAGAATGAACGTCTGACCTTTCACAATAAAACTACATCCGCGTTGAGAACATTCACAAGTGTCATATCTGTAACAGGGGCGGCGGCAGAGGTCCGGGGGGCCAGCCGTCACAGCACTGGCCCCCACTGGCCTCTGTCCTCAGTATATGGCACACACAAAAAATAAAAATAAAACAGAGGCCCCAGTATACAGCAGAAATAGATGTCAAAAAACAAACAAAAAATTACTGAAGTCTTCATTTATATTTAAGGCTTAGAAGGTTCTTCTTAGATGAAAGTGTAAAGAAGCTAGTACTGTTTTATACCCGTTTCGGCAGTAGAGTTTGTCAGAGGTGACATGTGATGACGTGACCGTGTAATTCAGCAGTACTCGCTTCTTTTCACTTTTGTTTTATAAGAAAAACCTTCTACGCCGTAATTAGAAATAGTTTGAGGCCCCTGCATATACCAAATAGAGGGTTAGAGGCCGTTGTGCAAGAAAGAGAGCTTACATAAATTCAACTGCAGGTTCAAAGTTCATACTTCATCACTCTTTTTAATGCACTGTTATTATTTATGTGTGATTTTAATTTTTCTTTTCTTGTTTTGTTAACCATTTTGAGTTGTCTTGTGTGTGCACTGTGCTATACAGATAAACTTACCTTGCCTTCTTCTTAAAAGTCTTTTAAGCTTTTCCTTATGGACCACTTTAAGGATGTGGAAATATTGCCTGTTTGTCGTGATCAGTGTGGTTTGTACAGTATCCCGACATGAGATGTGGCCGACATGTGTGATCCCAGTGTGGATGGAGCTAAACACGACTCCAGGTCAGCTCTCCTCTCTGGTCATATAAGAGGCATTTTCCTGTTTTCATGTGGTTTTATTACAAATGCAAAATGTTACAACAGAATTCACAAACACATAAGTTTCAGTAACAGCTGGAGCATTTCAAACTCTTCCACGGAGTTCTGGTCTGAGTCGGGCCAGACCAGACCGAACCAGACTCCGCTGACGCCGTCGCTCAGGTTCAGTGCGAGAGGAGAAAAACAAAAACATGTAAACTACACGTACCACGCAACACACATCCAGTGTCAAACCAGAACTCAGACTGTGATGGAGAAAGAGGATGAGGACCACGAGGAGCAGGAGCACAAGGAGAAGGAGGACCATGAGGGGGATGAGGACCAGGAGGAGGACTTGCGATGAGGAGGACCAGGATGAGGGAGAGGACCAGACTCAGGAGGACCATGAAAGGCCATCTGAGGCTAACCAAATACAATGATACAGCTGTTTTAAAACACACTTTTCACAGACTCTGCTGCAGACACCTCCCAGTGCACAGGCCACCAGTTAAAGCTGAGGTACGTAACTTTCACCCCACACCAGCAGAACTCTAATACAATCCAGGTCACTAGTTCTTGGCTCTGTAACAGTTTGATTCCATTTCTAAAGATGTGACAGAGGCCAAAAATGACAAGGAGAGGATCAAGCTCTCAGCCCAAAGAGTCAAAAAGTGACTCTCAAGGCTTTTTCTTACTTAAAAAACAACATGTTTGTTTATAAGATAAGGACAGCATGTTGTGGTCTGATTGGAACAGACCAAGACTTTTTCTTTTGTACAAAGTCTCATATGTGGTATTTAAGTTACAATACATATTTGACCGTGTAAAAGTTTGGGCGCCCATCGTCCTGTGACAGTTTTCAGTGCAGTTTTCAGAAAACAAACAGATTCAAAACACTTAAAAAAAAAACATTTCACTTTTTACATTTTTCATTAGTTTGAGTCTTTGGAGCGACGGCGTTAGCGGTGCGCGTAGCAGCGGTGTCCAACCTGCGGTCCACACACAGAGGCCCTTTGGCTCCATAATCTTCTTATTGGAGTCCTGAAAAAACGCCCTACAATCATTAAGGGACCGACCAGTTAGCAGGTTTTGGCTCTGAGACCGATGTTTTGGGATTGGGGAGCTGAAGTTGCCTGGATGATGACTGCTTATTTTCTCAATAGCTGCTGAATTATAGACGTTCTTTAAAGTTCTATACAAGACGTGCGTATTAGAGCTGCAGTTGGATGAATGACTGTGTAAACTTGTGTTTAAGATCTCTGCTTTGGGCTAACGTTAGCAATAGCAGTAGAATGATACGTGAGACCTTTATACACTCTGTCGTGTGTGTTATTTTGTTAAAATAAAATAAAAGATTGATAACACATATAATGATATATATGCATGTTATTATGATCTCTACTTTACGTTAGCATTAGCATTCCCGTTAGCATAATCTGTGCGGACATTTTGCAGTCACCAGTACCAGATGAGTATAATGCAACAGGTAAATTCTTAAGACTACGAGCTTCAGGATGAGGTACAACATTTCTGTATTAACTGACAAAATGAGTTTGTGGCTGTGGAGGTAGTAACTTCAAACAAAATTGACAAAAATCAGTAAAATATTTGCCATAGTTAGAATTGGTCGGTCCCTAATGATCTGCAATTTGAGAGTGCTGCCTATAGCCCCGTTTCCACCACCCCGTTTCTACTCTACTCTGATTGGGAATGTTTACACCAGTCCTGTTTAACTGGTACCAGTTTCTTTAGTCCCTCTTGGTCCTGGTTCTATCCAGGTCGAGCTGGTACTAAAGTGTTCTAACTGACATTGATTGGCAAAAGTGCAGCTGAAAGCCATGATTACCAAGGAATTTCCACAGATACTGGTTTGTTGTGGGTAGAATGCTAGGATACAATACCAGATGCTAAAGTGTAATGGAACCACAATCAGGTAGAGTAGAGCCAAGTAGAGTAGAGTAGAGTAGAGTAGAGTAGAGTAGAGTAGAGTAGAGTAGAGTAGAGTAGAGCCAAGTAGAGTAGAGTAGAGTAGAGTAGAGTAGAGTAGAGTAGAGTAGAGCCAAGTAGAGTAGAGTAGAGTAGAGAGTAGAGTAGAGTAGAGTAGAGTAGAGTAGAGTAGAGTAGAGTAGAGTAGAGTAGAGTAGAGTAGAGCCAAGTAGAGTAGAGTAGAGTAGAGTAGAGTAGAGTAGAGTAGAGTAGAGTAGAGTAGAGTAGAGCCAAGTAGAGTAGAGTAGAGTAGAGTAGAGTAGAGTAGAGTAGAGTAGAGTAGAGCCAAGTAGAGTAGAGTAGAGTAGAGTAGAGTAGAGTAGAGTAGAGTAGAGTAGAGTAGAGCCAAGTAGAGTAGAGTAGAGTAGAGTAGAGTAGAGCCAAGTAGAGTAGAGTAGAGTAGAGTAGAGTAGAGTAGAGTAGAGTAGAGTAGGACTGGTAGAAACTGGGCTTTTGTTTGACCTTGTAACACTTTTTTTCTTCTTCTAGTAACTCACATCAATGAGTTACTGTGATGTAACAGTCTGAACACCGTGCTGTCTAAGGACCAGACTGGCGTTTTTCAAAGTAAGGTGGAGCCTTACCCTTTTCTTTCCCTTTTTCCCGTGTTTTGTGTAAACACATAAATATAAACTCTTCTTTACTGTACAGCCGTCAATCATTTAAAACCAAAGTATGAAAATAAAATCGCACAAAGAGAGGAGTTCTGTCTGCGTCAAAGTTTCTATCGAGCAGATCCAACAGTTCAGTGCGAGCAGCGGCCTCGAAACACAGATTCAAACACTTTGTGCTAAAGGACGAGAGTCAAAACCAAATGGAAGCACGAGGAAAAGGGCGCACAGGGCCCCGGGGTGAGGGCGAGGAGGTTTAAAAGTGGTACTTCCCTTTGCGTTTCAGTCACAGAATCAGCTGCTTTAGGGAGACCAACAAACGGGAAGAAAAGCCTCCAGATTCAGTTCCGTTTAAAAAATACCACGTTCACTTGCACACGTGCATCTGGAGAGGACCAGGACCTCTGCCCCAGGAGAGGACCAGGACCTCTGCCCCAGGAGAGGACTGGGACTTCTGTGGGACCAGTTTGGTTGGTTGAGAAGATATATCTAACTTTAGACTGAATTTATGTCAATTTCCCGTCAAGAGAAGTGGGTTTTCACGGCACAATCGCTTCAAACCGTGTGAGCGAAAGAAGAACCATGTGTGTTCAGTGCAGGCAGAGAGGGTTCTGGGATGGGGTCCTGGGTCTCAGCATTCCAGTGGCGGGTGGAAGGACCTCCTACAGTCCAGGGCCTTAGTGGTCGGGGCCTGGACGCGGTTCTTCTGGATCTCCTCGAGGCTCAGAGTCCCAGTGAGGCGCGAGAAGGCCGACTTGTATTTCTTATCGAAGGCGGCTGAAACACAGAGAGAAAAAGAGAGAGAGAGAGAGTAAGAGAGAGTGACACCGGAGCGAGAGAGGACGTGTTTGACCTGACCCATCTCCTCTCTCCTCAGTCCTCAGGTCGGCCCTCAGTCCTCAGAGCAGGGAGTGGACTTACCCACGTGGTCTTTGCCCATCGCCGCCATCGTGAGGAACAGGAACTCTCTGTACACGCTCCTGAAACAAACAGAGATCATGAGAGCTCTCTGCTCTGGCTCTCTGTTCTGGCTCTCTGCTCTGGCTCTCTGCTCTGGCTCTCTGCTCTGGCTCTCTGCTCTGGCTCTCTGCTCTGGCTCTCTGCTCTGGCTCTCTGCTCTGGCTCTCTGCTCTGGCTCTCTGCTCTGGCTCTCTGCTCTGGCTCTCTGCTCTGGCTCTCTGCTCTGGTTCCTCTGATTCCTCTGATTCTTGGACCGGGTCTCTGGTCTTACCTCTGCACTGGAACCGTCTCCTCCTTCTTCAGGGTTGCCAGATAAAGTGTGACAGCCTTGTGGACCTCGTTCATGCCCACGTATCTCAGAGCCTCCTCCAGGAAGCTGAGGCTGAAGGGGTGATTGTGGCGTCTCCAGGGGAACTGCCTCATGGCCACACCGCCTGCAGAGGGCGCTAGCATTAAAGACACATACTACACATTGTCTGTAACCAAATACCCACACCATCCCCTTCATCACTACATAGTCCCTCACTCATTAGTCAACTCTATAGTGAGTCAGTCATGTGGTGAGTCATAGATTTCGCTTTTCATCATTTCAGAAAGTGGGCAGGATCTATGCAACTATGATTCTCTCCTTCACTGTTGTAGCAACAGGAGCAACAGCAGCAGTATAAATAGTAGTAGACGCAACAGCAGTAGCAGCAGCGGTAGAGGTGGTCGTAGTAGCAGCAGTATCAGTCAAAGTACTCACTGTGGATCCTCCAGAGCACGTAGAGAGGGGGCCACTGGTCTGTGTCAGGGGCCAACGTGTCCCAGAGGAGCCGAACCCTTACCGTCGGGTTCTCCACCTGCAGAGAACATGTGACATCAGATGTTACTCATAGACTTCCTTGAGGGTCAGAGCTACCGCAAAAAGGCTCCATGAGCTGAATTTGGAGCCAAATTTGTGGATAGTAACATAGCAACCAAAGAGCCAATCAGGAGTCGCAGAGTGCATTTGTCAATCCCGCTTGTCTGGTTTTGTAGCTGGTCTCACTGATCTCTCTGGTCTCAGACCTGGCGTCGGACCTGGCCTCTGTGGTCTCTCTGGTCCCTGAGGTCTGGGATGTCCCATACCTGCGTGCAGTGGGCGCTCAGGCCCGAGCTGATCACCAGCTGCAGCAGGTGTGAGGGCAGCTGGAGTCGGGTGAAGATCCACAGAAGGTTCCAGAATAGGATGGAGTGATGTTCTAAAAGAGAGGCCCGGGAGAGCACCGCTTCGCCCTCGTTCTCCAGCAGAGACTCCAGCTCCTTACGCAGAACCAGGGGACTCAGGTAGGCCACGGTGACCTGAGGGCCAGCTGAGGAGAGAGAAGAGAGAGACGGGTCAGGACCAGAGGACTGAGGTTGGCCACAGTGACCAGAGTTTTGTGATTTCTCCAGTCAAATGGTATTGTCGATAACTTGTTTTGTTGTTGTGTTCAGTTCACTTTGAGCTGTTCCATTGTGCTGGTAAACTGTCAATGGTGACATAATTTTAACTGAACTAATGTAGGTAAAGTAAAACACTAAACTTTTCAGTTCAAACGACCGCAGCACAGACGAGAGCTCAGAGAACACATCACCCCGGGCCTGAGGGCCCTTCAAAATCTCAACATTTCCTCCAATTCCATGAGAACTGTTCAATATTACTTATACTTCAATAATAACTCACTTGCTGTTCCGCCCACAGTAGAAGAAGCTCCACCCACAATAGGTGAAGCTCCGCTCACATGGTTCGCTCTGGTCTCGGAGCAGCTGCTGGTCTCTGAGCCAGAGTCTTCACAGACGCCGTTACAATGGGATCCTGAGGGGGGCGCTGTCTCCTGAGTGCTGGGAGGCCGCACTGCGCTCTGCACCTCCTCCTCCACGTTCCACTGACTGCGCTCAGCACTGGATCAAGACAAGTGAAAAGAAACTTCAGGTCAACGGTGCATCTGCAACAACGCAAAGCACCCATCGGACCGCAGGGAGACCACAAATTTGCACCCAGCCTCGTTAGTGCGTAAAGGGTGACAAGGCTTTTCATTCTAATGAGCCTGACATATAAGCACTATAAGCTGGAGTTTCAGTTTTTCAATGACCAAATTTGGCAATGTTGCATATTTGGTTCTTGGGGTTCTTGGGTACCCCTTGAACCTTTCAACATTTTGCCACATTTTAGGCTTCAGACATAAAGATATACAATTTTAATGTTTTGTCATGAATCAACAACAAGTGGGACACAATCGTGAAGTGGAACGAAATTTATTGGATAATTTAAACTTTTATAACAAATAAAAAACTGAAAAGTGGGGCGTGCAATATTATTCAGCCCCTTTACTTTCACTGCAGCAAACTCAGTCCAGAAGTTCAGTGAGGATCTTTGAATGATCCAATGTTGTCCTAAATGACTGATGATGATAAATAGAATGCACATGTGTGTAATCAAGTCTCCGTATAAATGCACCTGCTCTTTGATAGTCTCAGGGTTCTGTTTAAAGCGCAGAGAGAACCATGAAGACAAAGGAACACACCAGGCAGGTCCGAGATACTGTTGTGGAGAAGTTTAAAGCCGGATTTGGATACAAAAAGATTTCCCAAGCTTTAAACATCTCAAGGAGCACTGTGCAAGCAATTATATTGAAATGGAAGGAGTATCAGACCACTGCAAATCTACCAAGACCCAGCCGTCCCTCCAAACTTTCATCTCAAACAAGGAGAAGACTGATCAGAGATGCAGCCAAGAGTTCCATGATCACTCTGGATGAACTGCAGATAACTACAGCTGAGGTGGGAGAGTCTGTCCATAGGACAACAATCAGTCGTGCACTGCACAAATCTGGCCTTTATGGAAGAGTGGCAAGAAGAAAGTCATTTCTCAAAGATCCATAAAAAGTCTCGTTTAAAGTTTGCCACAAGCCACCTGGGAGACACACCAAACATGTGGAAGAAGGTGCTCTGGTCAGATGAAACCAAAATCGAACTTTTTGGCCACAATGCAAAATGATATGTTTGGCGTAAAAGCAACACAGCTCATCACCCTGAACACACCATCCCCACTGTCAAACATGGTGGTGGCAGCATCATGCTTTGGGCCTGCTTTTCTTCAGCAGGGACAGGGAAGATGGCTAACATTGATGGGAAGATGGATAGAGCCAAATACAGGACCATTCTGGAAGAAAACCTGTTGGAGTCGGCAAAAGACCTGAGACTGGGACGGAGATTTATCTTCCAACAGGACAATGATCCAAAACATAAAGCCAAATCTACAATGGAATGGTTCACAAATAGACGTATCCAGGGTTAGAATGGCCAAGTCAAAGTCCAGACCTGAATCCAATCGAGAATCTGTGGAAAGAGCTGAAGACTGCTGTTCACAAACGCTCTCCATCCAACCTCACTGAGCTTGAGCTGTTTTGCAAGGAAGAATGGACAAGAATTCCAGTCTCTTGATGTGCAAAACTGATAGAGACATAGCCCAAGCGACTTGCAGCTGTAATTGCAGCAAAAGGTGGCACTACAAAGTATTACTGCTAATTTACACATCACGCGTTACAGCACGTACGCGTTATACGCGCAGCAGACGCGCGTAACTTTTTTCCATGTTAACCTATGATGATATTTACACTTCTAGCGTTATACGCGCGTATGACGGACATGTGACGCGAAGCTGCTCTCTAATTTAGGATGGATTTCTAATTTTGTGCGCGCACCAACGCGTCTCCCATTGAAATCTCATGTAAAACTTTATTTTTCTAGCGGTCCTTGGCTTTAGATCACATCTGCACGCACACTGCACTTGTGGCTAAACATCAGCAGGAGGAGCAGCAGGTTTTACAGTGATTCTGGACATCGTTTTTTTTCTTTCATAAAGTCTCGCGTCTGGACAAACCAGCGCACAGAGACCATGAAGACAAACACATGCATGTGATTTGTGTTGCTCTACATCAGTCCTCTGGCTCGTACTGTCCTCTACACTGCTCCATAGACTACACAGGGAGAGCATCAGAAGCCGCGGACCTGCGCGCACGGTCAGTGTAGATACTCCAAAAAAATGTTATGCGCAGAGAGCGCGCAGTAAACGCGTACGCGCTGTTTACGCCTACTGTGTAAATCCCCCGAGAGTGTAAGGGGCCGAATAATATTGCACGCCCCACTTTTCAGTTTTTTATTTGTTAAAAAAGTTTAAATTATCCAATAAATTTTGTTCCACTTCCCGACTGTGTCCCACCTGTTGTTGATTCTTGACAAAAAAAATATTTTTTATATCTTTATGTTTGAAGCCTGAAATGTGGCGAAATGTTGAAAGGTTCAAGGGGGCCGAATACTTTCGCAAGGCACTGTACATTAGTTAGTCATACTTCTTTTGCCATAAACGTTAAACTTTATGTTGCATATTTGTGACCGACAGTGCTACAGGGTTAAACACTGTTTATTTGTTTGTATAAGTTATGACCAAGAAGAGACCAGAGAGGGATGGTCCAGAGAGAGAGAGACCAAGAGAAAGACTAGAGAGAGACAAGACACTAGAGAAAGGGAGAAAGAGACTATCGATTTCCCTCACCTGCACACGGGTCCCGGGTCACAGATCTGGGCGTTGATGAAGGGGACAAAGGGGCCCCTGCAGAACGGACACGAAGAATTCAGGTTGGAGTCGTCGGAGGTCCATCCAGCCATAACCTCTTCATCGTAAACCAGGGAGTCACAGGAGCGGCACAAGGAGCAAGACGACATCAGGATCTGGACACAAAAAGGCGTGTTGTTTGAACCCGCATCCGATGTTTAGACAGGAACATATCAAAATAAAATAATATGAAGCAGGACACAGGTCTGTAGTAATAGTCCTGCTGGGTTTAGGTCTCTCTGGTCTTGGTCCTTCTGGTCTGGTCTCACCTCCATTCCCGGAGTCTCCTGGTTGTAGTCCCAGGAGCGCCGCAGTGGGAAAGCCGGAGTGGGGACATCAGAGAGGTCCAGGTCACTGCCCACTGACAGAGAGCTCTGAGGAGGAGAAAGGTGAAGGGGATAAGAGAATAAAAGGAGATCTGCCTCTGGCCCGCGGATGTTGTCCTGTGTACTACTCCTGTTGTCTGCTCCTCCTAGTATTTAACTGGACCAGGTGTTGATTGCTCCAATAGGATAGCGGATGTAGTTCTCCTATATTTAAGAGTGTCTCGCGATCGTATGTGATAAGACATTGTGCAGGGCATGCCAGTAAGATAAATACTATAACACAAAAAACTTCTGGGTCAGGTATGAAGGCAGCCAGCCTACCCAGCGTCCATCTTGCCCCAGACATTTCTGGGTCAGGGGGTGGCAGTCGGAGCCACCTAGTTCACAGAGCACCAGCCCCTCACTGATCGTCCTGCAGGTGGTGAGTCCACAGGAGAATGGCTCTGTTTGTGACGGCATAACCTTGATCTTTCAGGCAAGTGGGGGTCATGAGCGCAGCGTTTGATAACATTCAGCAACAACTTAAACAAGAGTTAAAGGAGATTAAAGCTATGCTAACAGCCTTTTATTCAGCATAAATTAGGCAAAGCTAACGGCAACAACTCGCATAACAAAACAGAAGACCTAAGTGTTGAGAAGTGGGAGAAACAGGCATTCCATTGTTTACACTTAGCTTTAGTTTGAGTAAACTTTAGATCTAGTCTCTGTTAGTATTAGCCTGGACCTGGATCTTAGTGGTCCTGGTCTATCCCTTGGTACCAGTCCAGACTCGGTTCTGACCTCAGAGTTAGCGTTGACGAGCCGCTCCTTGGCCTTCAGCAGCGTCTCTGTGACTTGGCTCTTGCGGCTGGGGCGGTCTCTCTTTAGCCCCTCCCCCCTGCTGCGTGGCCCTTCCCCTTTTCGGCGGTCGTCCACGCTCGCCGCGCGCCTCACGCTCAGACGGGACCGAGTTGGGGTCAGGAGCTGCTGCAATTTCCCCGCCAAACCCCCACGACCCGGGGACACAGTGTTCTGGTTCTCGTCCACAGCTTTGGTCCGGCTCACACTGCCCCCTCTGAAACCAAAACAGTTCTTCTATCAGCTTCATCAGTCGTGGTCAGTGAACTGAGCGAGTGTGACATCACCATAGTGTTAGCATTAATGCAGAAGAAACCGGTCAGAACATAAGCTAGCCGGAGCCAATTTCACGCCGTAATAGCGGCGTATGTGTTGCTAAAATGGTTGCTAAGGCAAGCTGGAGTTTCTCTGATTGGTCAATCCTTAAATAGCTCATATCGGGATTTGCAAAGACAATATCACAATGTAAACACCAGGATCATAGAGATCCTGGTCCACCATACTGAGCTAGAGGAGTTTACTTTTACATGTAAGTCAATAGGAGCAAGAGCGAGTTGGAGCAAAACTTAGTCCATGATAAGGTAAGAGAAGCACTTCCTTTGAGCACTTCCTTGCAGGCCTGTAAGTTGTGTCCAGTTAGAACAGCTCTTCTATCTGCTTTCCTTCAATTGTGTGCAGTTAAAAAAGCTCCTCACTCACCGCGTGTGGGTCCTGCTGTCTTCGCTCTCTGCACACTCTTTGTAGAAGGTGGACAGACAGACCTGACTGCGCGGCACCACTGCACCGGGGGGCGCCGTGGGACCTAAGGGAGGTTTACGGGGGTCTCCGCTCTGGACCAAAGCTTTCCTCTGCAGCTTCAGCTCTGCACATGAACACCAGGAGGACACCATCTTTATCTAGGATTTATTTATCTAAACTTTAAAGCTGTGGTACGTAACTTTCAGACCACAACAACTGAACCCAGTAATAAAACCCATGTCACTGTCTATAACAGTTGCTTCTATGACTAGTTTTTAGAAACATGTATTTTTGGCCTCTGTCACATTGTTGGATCAACTTTTTCAGAGAGAAAAGTGATTAAGAGAGGACCACCCTCTCTCAGCCGTTCAGCAGTTTCTTACACACAAGATACTATGTTTATTACTCAGAGGAAGACAGAATGTTGTCTATTCACAAAATGTTCCTTATTGCTGCTACATACACAGGCTTCAAGGTTATGTACACCTGCTTTAACGTTACCAACCCCATCTCTAGTGCATGTGTCACTTCACACTCACTGTCAGTCGGCTTCACGTTGCTCAGGCTGCAGCTCTTTGTCATGGTTCCTGGCAATGACTCGTGACTGGAGCTGTCACTCAAACCGCTCCAGCTGGACTGACGAATCAGAGACGAGTGTGGGCGGGGCCTGCAGTCTGCATCAAACATTGACTCTGGAGGAAGAGGAGTGACATTCTGAGATCCCAGAAGCAACACCAACACTGATCTTGTACAGCGTGTAAAGCAGATCAAGCCATAGGAGTCATCTACTGTCCGTCATCCTCAAATAATGAACTTTAGACCTTGTGTTGTGGACATAGACTTTTCTCTGGTTTAACATCATTACAGAGCTATTTGGCCTTCATATAGTTTGTTCTTCAATTCCCTCAAGCTTTAGTTAGAGAGGTATTCTTGAGAGGCAACAAAACAACTCGATTCACTTTGTGGCGTGACAAGACGGGTTACGTGGCACGAGCTGCAGAACCCAGCCTCCAGGAGGTGATTGATTTAATGAATATATTTAAGGAATGGAATTGGTCCTTTTGGTAAGTAAGTAAGTAATCTTTATTTATATACCGCCTTTCACAGACCAGAGTCACAAAGCGGTTTACAATTGTTATTTTTTGGGCATTTGTCTCTCACTCCACACAGAGATGGGAGCAGGGTCGCCAGTAAAGGAAGTGCATGCCAGACCTATTGTACATGTTTTTAGTGGTAGGGGAAACCGGAGTACCCAGAGGAAACCTACACAGACAAGGGGAGAACATGCAAACTCCACTCAGAAAGGACCTGGTCCGACCGGGATTCGAACCCAGGACCTTCTAGGTGTGAGGCTAGAGTGCTATCCACTCCAGCCACCATGGGGGACATCTTCTACTTATGTGACCGGAAGCTTGAATAAAGACAATACATTTGTCAATAAGAGAACACAGTAAAATAAAGTTCATCAGGTAGGTCTAAACAGTGATTATGATGATGATAATGATGATGATGATGAAGCTCTAACCTCCTCGTGACCCCAACGAGTCGCTCTTCTGCCGCCGTCTGATTGGCTGTCGAAACTGGGCCACAGCCAATAGGACGTTCCGTAGCTTAGCCCAGAGGAGCCGGCCTCCCTGATTGGTCGAAGGCCACTTACTCTCCAGTACCGCCTAAGGAAAAACGGAGAACAGCGTTTTAAACAGCTGCTTTGTGTAAAACAGGAGGAAGGAAGAAGAGCCAATCAGAGAGGAGTAAGTAGAGAAGATAAACTTTATTGATCTCACAATGGAGGAATATACTCAGGGTGTGCAAAAAGACGGGATGTGTGTAAACTAGTGCTGTCCAACGATTAAAATATTTAATCGCGATTAATCGCATGAATTTCATAGTTAACTCGCGATTAATCGCAAATTAGTCACCCATTTGCGTGCTGTGTGCAATTGCTTTTTTTATTGAAAACAATGTGTAGTGTTATATTACACACTAACATTTGATGCAAAATCATCAATAAATGGATGACAAAATAAATAATTGGTAACAAAAAGCCCCTTCAATGTGTGTGTGGAGTGTGTGTGTTTATGGGTGTGGGTGTGTGTGTGTATGTGTGGGTATAGACCATAGACTGTATAGAAACATCATGGTGTCATTATGATGATGATAAACAATTTTTTTGTAAATTTGTTCATGTAAATACTCTATGCTGTTACTTTCGGTATATCTATGACTGTATACTGTTTGCTTGTATTGCCTTTTTTATTAACCCCTCCCCCCCATCTCCCACTTCATGTCCCCCCCCTCCTATGTGCCCTTCTGGGTTTCTTCTTTGGCCCCCTGTATCTCCAACTACATATTGTTTGTAATCTCTGTCTACAATGTATCTTAACTAGTCCTTTTCTTTGTGTCTATTTTTTTCTGTATATGTGTTTGTCTGCAATAAAAAAAAAAAAAAAAAAAAAAAAATTTTAATAATTATAAAAAAAATTAATGGCGATTAAAAAAAAATGACGCCGTTAATATTGATTTGCGTTAACGCGTTAATAACGCGATATTTTGGACAGCACTAGTGTAAACATGTTAAAAGTTTAAAATATAGTCTCTTTTGTACAAGATATATTATGTACAATAAGTGACTATAAAAGTGCAGGTTGTTAAAGTTACTTATTGTACAGTCTGACAGCGGTGGGGATGGAGGCTCTGCGGTAGCGTTCCATCTTGCAGTGTACCTCAGTCTTCAGGGGGGGTTCAGACCGGATCATGCGTTGCGGCGACTTTCAATGCAAAGTCAATGGTGACGTCCGTTCGAACGTGGAACTGCATCTGCGTCGCAGCAGATTAACTTGACTAAACCAGGATTGACAATGGGGGACACAGTGCTTGTGAACATATGCCTCCAGCGTCATGCTCCCGTGACTGTAATCAAGTGCTGCTAACGTGTAAGTACAGTTTAATAATATAATAAAGTTATGGTGCACCTCCGTGAACACATACTGCTGTTATATTAAGTCTCTGGAAGGTTCCTGGACACAGAGACGCTGCAGAGCTGCATTCTTGTAGAAGAACTTTTCACAAAAAGCCGCTAGCTTAACTCTGTTAGCATCAAAGCCCGCCCGCCACTTCCACCCTGCGTAATTTTCCCCACTGCAGGCCAGGACTTCTGAACGCCCCTAGCATCTGAAATTTAGAGAATATGCGTCTAGTGCGCGTGAAAGCTGTGTTCCAGCGTCAGTGGTCTGAACGCCCCATTCCACTGAGCGCCCACTTCCTCAGATCCTCTACAGTTCCGCGCAGTGAATAGTAGTAGTAGCAGCAGTAGTAGCAGCAGTAGCACCAGCAGTACCTTGTTGTAGTAGCCGTAAGTGATGGTGTTGGGGGTGATCCCTGCTCTCTTCATCTCCAGTAGAACTCTGACGGCGAGAACAGGCTGACCGTACTGACCACACAGCTGCATCAAGATCCGGTAACAAACCTGTGGGAAAAGAACCAGGTATGAAAGGACCTAAGCGTAGGACCTAAGATGGGGTTGGACTGGTCTCTCTCTCTGATCACTCTCTGGCCCTCTCTCACTGGGCCTCTCTCTCTGGGCCTCTCTGGTCTCTGGCCTCTCTGGTCTCTGGCCTCTCTGGTCTCTGGCCTCTCTGGTCTCTGGCCTCTCTGGTCTCTGGCCTCTCTCTCTGGTCTCTGGCCTCTCTCTCTGGTCTCTGGCCTCTCTCTCTGGTCTCTGGCCTCTCTCTCTGGTCTCTGGTCTCTGGCCTCTCTCTCTGGTCTCTCTCTGGTCTCTGGTCTCTGGTCTCTGGCCTCTCTCTCTGGCCTCTCTTTCTGGCCTCTCTTTCTGGCCTCTCTTTCTGGCCTCTCTTTCTGGCCTCTCTCTCTGGCCTCTCTTTCTGGCCTCTCTTTCTGGCCTTTCTCTCTGGCCTCTCTCTCTGGCCTCTCTCTCTGGCCTCTCTCTCTGGCCTCTCTCTCTGGCCTCTCTCTGGCCTCTTTCTCTGGCCTCTCTCTCTGGTCTCTCTCTGGTCTCTCTCTCTGGTCTCTCTCTCTGGTCTCTCTCTCTGGTCTCTCTCTCTGGTCTCTGGCCTCTCTCTCTGGCCTCTCTCTGGCCTCTCTCTCTGGTCTCTCTCTCTGGCCTCTCTCTCTGGCCTCTCTCACTGGGCCTCTCTCACTGGGCCTCTCTCACTGGGCCTCTCTCTGGCCTCTCTCTCTGGCCTCTCTCTCTGGCCTCTCACCTCGTCTGGTAGCACCACTCTCCGAGTCTCCATGTGCTTCAGAACCTCGTAGGCCGTGTGCAGAGCTCGGACCTTCATGTTCTCCGCCTTCACGAACGTGGGCAGGTAGATGAACCACAGACCGTAGCAGTGTCCCAGGAGGCACTTGGACCACATGTCCGGGACCGAGGAGTACTTCTGCGCACGCTTCTGGGCCAGCTTTATCTCCTGAAGACACAGAGGAAGTTTATTTGGGAGGAGCTTCTGAGTTCACACTCTCAGCCACAGATTTCAGAGATTATGAAGGAACAAAAACTTCCCCTCTCTGGTCTCGTTTTCTGGTCTCTCTCTCTGGTCACTCCCTCTGGTCACTCTTTCTCAATTCGATAAAATGTATTTTTTAGGACTGGGACTGGATTAAAAAACATAAATCTAATTAATTAGAGGCTTTGTAATTAATTAATCGCAATGAATCGCATTTTAATCGCATATAAATATTTGACCTGAGAACAGTGAGAAGTCATTTTTTCCCATCCACGGGGCCAACCAACGCGTGCCACTGTGGTTTGGTGTTGTCTGAACTGAATTAATGCGCGTTAGTTGGTGCTCCAGTACAATCGGTCCGTCTGAGGTATCTGCTAAACCGCAGATATTTGTTTTTGTTTGCACCTGTCATCCACATGACAACGCATCATAAAAGAATATATAAAAAACCTCTGGGCAAAGTGAAGATTTTTGAAAACTCTTATGTATTTGCGATAACCAGAGTTTTGTGTTTTTAGCATGTATTTGCGATAACCGGAGTTTTGTGTTTTTAGCACGTAATTATATGTGCCAAAACAACAACTAACAAAACGTGCAACCTCTTATCACTGAGGAAGCATGATCTTACTGCCGTTAAAAACTGAACACCCTCGCTCCACATCAGAGAGCAGCAAAGTGACCGCGGTTACTCGCACTCAAAAACAACCAAAACAGGAGCCAAGCCTGGATTAAACCAGGGCTGAGGACGGGGGCCGGTGCTTGTAAACATATGTCTTTAACCTGAGTTTCTTCTATGACTGTAAAAGTGCCGCTACAGAAGTATCGGCGTCTGCATCAAAGCTCCGCCCACTTCTGTGATTTTCCCCCAACGCAGGACGTCAGAGGACGCACATGTTGGGAATGTTATGAATGTGATTTAAAACGTAGATGTTCGGTTAGGTGTGGATGCAAATTCTTTTTACAAACGGAGGGGGGGGGAATATTCGGTTTTAAAAATACCCGGCTACGTGTGGACATGGCCTAAAACTCATCTATTGAGAAACGTTCTGCGGGGGAAAAAAAACGCATTTAAGTCCCGGCCCCAGTACTTTTGTATAGCCCTAAATAACAACAGTTATCTCAGAAGACTTTACAAAGCCGTCGGTTCATCAACACGTATCATATTAGTGAAAAATATGTTGGAAAGTGTTTCTATTGATGAGAAACCAAAGTCTATTATAGTGTGAGTCCGTCCAGTCTCTCTCTGCTGGTCTCTCTCTCTGCTGGTCTCTCTAACTCTCTACTGGTCTCTCTCTGCTGGTCTCTCTCTCTCTGCTGGTCTCTCTAACTCTCTGCTGGTCTCTCTAACTCTCTGCTGGTCTCTCTAACTCTCTGCTGGTCTCTCTCTCTGCTGGTCTCTCTCTCTGCTGGTCTCTCTCTCTGCTGGTCTCTCTCTCTGCTGGTCTCTCTCTGCTGGTCTCTCTAACTCTCTGCTGGTCTCTCCAACTCTCTGCTGGTCTCTCTAACTCTCTGCTGGTCTCTCTCTCTGCTGGTCTCTCTCTCTGCTGGTCTCTCTCTCTGCTGGTCTCTCTCTGCTGGTCTCTCTCTGCTGGTCTCTTCTCTACTGTAAGGCCTGCTTTGGAGTCCATAATACAGCAAACCTACTGAAAAGAAGAGCACATGTTCCCAGTCCTGAAGTCACTACAGTGTGTGTGACGCCTGCTTCTCTCTGACCTCGTTACCCGCTCTCACATGTCTGCAGTGGATTAATCTTTCAGAGCATTTGAATGTTTAAACAGCTCCATGTTTCCTCTGCCCTCAGGCTGCAATTGTCCTCGGAAACTAACATCTACAGAGAGAAAAAACCCTCCGGAAAATCAGAGGCTGAACGTATCATGAAGCTCAAACAGGACAGACTTGCCAGTTGAAGATGTTTAAATGTGTCTACAGCCCCCTTCCCACTGCACAAAAACCCAGAAATGCCTCAAAATATGTTGGTCAAAAACTACACTTAAATCCCTCTACTTTTATGGTCTCTCTCTCCCTCTGGTCTCACTCCCTCTGGGTCAGTACCTGTTTTGTTCTGCGGGGGGCAGGGCTGCTGGGGGCCGGACTTCCCTTGGTCTGGACTTTGGTCTGGTCCTGCGGTTGGTCGAACAGCTCCATCTTCAGGAAGGGGAACGTGTCATAACTGAAAAACCAACAAGAATCTCTTAGTATACTGCTGTATAGTTCATGCTGTAGAATAGTATCAGTCATTTTGAGCCATATCAGATGCATTCCTTTGAAGGGGGAACTCCAGCTTGCCTTTGCAACCACCTAAGGAAGATGTTTGCCCCAGTTACGGCACAAAGCAAACGGCGTCAGAACTAATGCCCATATAATAAAATTTTCTCCAGCAAGCTCATGCTTCTTGGAATGTTTCGTAAGCATTAAGGCTAACACTATGGTAATGTCACTCTGTCAGTAGGGGGCAGACTGACCTGTAGAGGGCAGGGCACTCTTCTCCCCCTTCATCCTGGGGCTGCTCTGGGGGCATGATGAAGACTGTGTGCTCCCCACAGACCGACTCCTCTAGGTCGACGAGACGCACCTCCTCCGGCCGCTCACCATCCACCTGCACAGGACATGAGAGGGTTCTCAATGTGGGGGACGCGGACCTCATGCGGCCATCCACAAGGAGGCGTAGACTTTTGGAAGAGCCTCATTTTTTACGCACAAATGGAGCTAAATAAGGTCAGTAGATGCAAAACCATCTCTTTACACAATCATTAGCATTTGTGTGGTGATTTGACTCGGGACAATCTCTGTGTGTGATGTTTAAAAAGGAATACCCTGTACACCGCATCCACACTGCCCGAAACCAAACCTAACTCGACCCGTGTGTTCTAATTAACAGCGCATTAGGCTTATGTCCATTTCTAAACCAGAACTGAATAAATAGACCAGGTCTAAACCAGAACACAGCTGCAAACTCATGTGTACGTTCATACACTGAAGCTGCATTAGAGCTGCACTCAGAGGGCCGCCTTCAGAGCCGCAGCAGAGGAACCAGAGACTTTTCGGGAGAGACTCTAACCTAACTACACTTCAGATAAGTCCCCAGTCTTGGGGCTCGCATCTAGGCCGAGAATCTGTATACTCTGGGCACTGGGTGCCCTCTGCGCATTTCACACTGATGAACAGATGCTTGGTTCAACATTATTAGCTTTTTGTCAATAAACAAAACTAAAGCAAGACTAAACCGGGTCTGGGACTAGATCAGGTCTGGACCAGGTCTGGGACTGACCTTCTGCACACACTCGTCGAAGAACTCGAGGCAGGCGTGACGGTCGCTGACAAAGGAGCACTCCTCAATGAACTGAGTGAACATCTGTGTGCGAGTGAGCTGAGAGTAGAACTTCTGCTGAGTCCGGTCTCTGGACTTCAGGAACCCTGCAGAGAGACACCAGAGGGTCACATGGTCAAATGTCCATGGACAACAACCTGCAGGTTGGACAGGTTACTACAGCCTATAAACGGTATAAAAGCACACCCTGCAGGTTGAACAGGTTACTGCAGTCTGTGGTGGTGTCACTCGGGGCCTGGGTGATCGGAAGGAGGAACCCTCTGTAGCCTTTCAGCAGGAGGCTCATGAAGCGCAGAAACGCCTCCTGGATCTCCAGCTCCAGCTGCTTTTGCCGCCGGTAAATCTGATCATAGTCTGTGAGCAGGAACTCCAGTGTGGCCTCCTCCTGGCCGGGGGAGCAAACTGCACACACACAATATAGGACAGTTACTCTCACTCACACACACACACACACACATACGTCGCAGTGCTCAGCGCAGTCACTCACTCTTCTCTAGTGTCCGGTGCAGTGCGCTCAGGGTACTGAACAGCATCTTCCCTGGTTTCCGCGGGAGAGACTTCCATGACAACGGCTTCTTATCCTCACACCTGAACATAGAAGAGAAGGAGGGACAGAGAAGACAGAGAGGAGAGGAAAGAGGGGGGGCGGGTAGACAGGAGAGGAGGGAGGAAAATAGAAGAAAGAGGGGAGAAGAGAGGATAGGAGAGAAAGGAGAGAGGGGAGAGCAGAGAGGCTATAATCAGGTCAGGATCAGTGGGGACGGGTCCCAGCTCAAAAGTGGCCAAAATGACGTGCGCTGACATGCTGCAGTACCACCCCGGGCCGATGGGGGTGGACCCAGAAGAAGAATTAGCCAATGCTAACATATAGCATTGGCAGACCTGTCAAAAACGTCTTTACAGGATGGACCAAAGCTCCGTTCCACATGTGTGTCAATGCTGAGGGGGGTGGATTTTTTTTGGACCAGTTTACTTGCTGTGAATTTTGCAGACCATTGAAAATAAATGATTTGATAATATCCTATTCTGAATATTGATCATTTTAACCAAGAAAAGCTGGAAACGTACTGCGGAACATAATAATTTTCTAAATATTGTGTTGACCTAACTAATTTAAAAAGACAAAATCCTCTTAGTTTACATCAGTAAAGAATGACAGGCGGTTACTAGTCTCTCTTTTTTGGACATAATTGTTTTTTACTTGAAAATCTGGTTACACCATTTGACACCAACGGATTACACCGTTTGACAAGGCTGCTTCGTAAAGACCATAACTCTCACTAAAGGGATTTTTGTGAAGAAACAAAATCTATAGTAGGCCTACATGCGTAATTATATTTTTTGTATGTCAATATAAAACATGGCTGCGATTCCGCCCCCACCGCGCAGCGAATCCATTGTTTCACTCTGGAGGCCCATGAAACACTGTCGCCATGTAAACAAAAGGCCAATCTGATAGCCTACTCTAAACAGGGCCTAACTTTGTAGTGTAAGCAAACCTGAATATCAACAAAACAATATTCACACCTCAAACAAGTGTTTGTGTGTGTGTGTGCATCATTCGGGATTGCCGTTTGCCTACTTGAAGTTCCTTTAGTAGGATTATCCCAAATTTAAGAAAAGAACCACCCTCTCCAGAGGGAAAACCTTCTTTGCAAGTCCACTAGCTCCTGTGGACTCACCAGCTGCAGGAGGATCAGTGAGGGGCTGGTGCTATGTGTCCTGGGTGCAGCTCTGACTGCCACCCCCCGACCCAGAAATGGATTAAGGGGAAGAAAATGGATGGATGGAAATTCTAACTCTTTGCTCTACAAAGTGATTCTTGTTATATTTATGGGTCAAAATTAAAGCAGGAGATGGGTTTGTATTTAAAACTATAGTTACTGTGGGTAGACAAGCTTTAAATGCTAGTTAAGTGTTTGTGTTGGTGTGGTGACTGACTGGAAGATGGTGTTGGTGTCCAGGTCCACGCAGACAACCTCGGACGGGGGGTCGTGGAGGTCGAAATAACTGGAGTGAACGCCCACAATGAACGGCATCGGAGCCAACAGCACGTCTGACAGCTGCAGAGGACATAGAGGGATGTAGGGACAGAGCCAGCGCAGAGGAAACAGCATCTGAGGAAGAGAACCAGAGCAGAACATCACGAGGACATCTGGAGAAGACAAAGCAGAATGTATGGACAGACAGAGCAGAAAGAGACCCTAAGCCAGAGAGATAACAGAGTGAGACGTGAGTGAGAGATCTGAGGCACCAGAGAGAGACCAGAGAGAGACCAGAGAGTGACCAGAGAGTGACCAGAGAGAGACCAGAGAGAGAACAGAGAGTGACCAGAGAGAGACCAGAGAGAGACCAGAGAGTGACCAGAGAGTGACCAGAGAGAGACCAGAGAGAGACCAGAGAGTGACCAGAGAGTGACCAGAGAGTGACCAGAGAGAGACCAGAGAGAGAACAGAGAGTGACCAGAGAGAGACCAGAGAGAGACCAGAGAGAGACCAGAGAGTGACCAGAGAGAGACCAGAGAGAGACCAGAGAGAGACCAGAGAGTGACCAGAGAGTGACCAGAGAGAGACCAGAGAGAGAACAGAGAGTGACCAGAGAGAGACCAGAGAGAGACCAGAGAGAGACCAGAGAGTGACCAGAGAGAGACCAGAGAGAGACCAGAGAGAGACCAGAGAGAGACCAGAGAGAGACCAGAGAGACACCAGAGAGAGAGACCAGAGAGAGACCAGAGAGTGACCAGAGAGAGACCAGAGAGAGACCAGAGAGTGACCAGAGAGATACCTGACACAGCAGAGTGAGGACCAGACAGAGACTTGAGTGAGAGCGACATGAGAGACAGACCAGATACAAACCCTTGAGGCCTAAGAGACAGACCCAGAGCAGAGGAGACTAGTGTGACATCTGGAGAGGACCTAGGTTTTTTCACTACCTGATTTAGGTTGTTGCTACCCATAATACATCAATACTCTCAGGCTTCTCATGGAGCCTGTGTGAGTCAGCCCTTTTTCTTAAGAGTAGCAGTGCTAGGTAGAGAGCAGTGCTTTTGTTACATGTGTGCCAAAATGCCGGACTCACCGCGACCAGGGCTTCGCTGACGGACGTGAGCACATCGGGCCGCAGAGAGTGCAGGAGCAGCTTGTGTTCGGTCAGAGCGGCCAATAGGAGGCAGCAGCAGTGTTCTGGACCAAGGTTCTGGAGGAGCTTCAGGAAACTGGCTCCACTCAGAGGGAGAGGAGAGGACACGGGTTGACACAGGACCAGGTTATCGTACGGCGACAGCTGCAGGAGAAAGACCAGAGACATGAGGTCAAACCTCTGAGAAGACAAGAGGAGACCAGCTCCAGGAGAAAGACCAGAAACAAGAGAGAGAGGAGAGAGAGGAGGAGAAAGGAGAGAGAAAAGGAGACCAGCATCAGGAGAAAGACCAGAAACCAGAGAGAGAGGAGAGTGAGGAGGAGAGAGAAAAGGAGACCACCACCAGGGGAAAGACCAGAAACAAGAGATAGAGGAGAGAGCAGAGAGGAGAGAGAAGAGGAGAAAGGGGAAAAAGGAGAGAGAGGAGAGCAGCTCCAGGAGAAAGAACCAGAGACACAAGTTCAAACATCTGCAAACAACTGAGGAGACAAGAAGAGACCAGCATCAGGAGAAAGACCAGAAACAAGAGATAGAGGAGAGAGAGGAGGAGAAAGGAGAGAGAAGAGGAGACCAGCATCAGGAGAAAGACCAGAAACAAGAGATAGAGGAGAGAGAAGAGGAGAAAGGAGAGAGAAGAGGAGACCAGCATCAGGAGAGAACCAGAAACAAGAGATAGAGGAGAGAGAAGAGGAGAAAGGAGAGAGAAGAGGAGACCAGCATCAGGAGAGAACCAGAAACAAGAGATAGAGGAGAGAGAAGAGGAGAAAGGAGAAAAAGGAGAAAGTCGAGAGAGAAAAGGAGACCTGCTCCAGGAGAAAGATCTGCAAACATCTCACAAGGCTCAGCTCCTTCAGGTCCTAGTGTGTGTGTGCGTGTGCGTGTGTGTGTGTGTGTGTGTGTGTGTGTGTGTGTCTGTGTGTGTGTGTGTGTGTGCGTGTGCGTCTGTCTCACCTGCACCAAGATGCGTGGTCTCTGCGGTGAAGGGAAGGGTACATTATGCATGAAGCTCGAGATGTGTCTGTGGAAACAATACATGTCAATCAGTGGCATCAGCAGCATCATCAGCAGCATCAGTAGCAATAGCATTAGCAGTCCTCACTTCTCCAGGGGCAGCACATGTGGTCCTGAGATGGAGTAGCGGTACACAAAGGTAAGGAACTTTTGGAAGACAGAGAAGAAGGGCCAGTGGGACAGGACACAGATGGACTTCTTTACATGGAGCGTCCGTCCAGACACAGGCCGCCGATCCACCACACTGAGCATGCCCAGACGCACACACTGCTGCTCAGACAGGAGCTCCAGAGGGAAGGACTCGTAGAACTCTATGGCCGATCCATACACCTGCAGAGAGGGGGAGGTGTTAGTTAGAGACCTGAGAGATCAGAGGTGAGTAACTAGAGAGACCAAAGACCAGAGAGAAGAGAGAGAGAGAGCAGAGAGAGACTAGACCAGGGAGAGACCAAAGAGAGACCAGTAAGACCACAGACCAGGGAGACCAAAGAGAGACCAGTAAGACCACAGACCAGAGAGATACAAGAGAGCTGGGAGAGGTACCAGAGACCTGAGAGAGGTACCAGTGAGTGACCAGAGAGAGAAAGACCAGAGTTTCCCCAGTACCTTGTCCCCGAAGGCAGACGTCAGCACAAACGTGGAGAAAACTGGTAGCTGGTACTTGGTGTTTTGAGGCCAGCTCTCCACCGTGACGCCCATGGGCAAACAGAAGACAGGGACCGAGTCTGGCAGACCGAAGGCCTCCAGGTCTTGGGGAGGGTACCGACTGATCAGGTCTGTGGAAGAGAGAGGAGAGAGTCAGGTCTACAGAAAGAGGACGGGAGAAGGGAGGGGAGAGTAGAGGAGAGGGGAGAGAGAAGAGAGACAAGAGGAGAAAGACGAGAGAGTCGAGCGAGACAAGAAAGTGAAGTCTGTGGAGGGGGGAGCAACATTTTGCAATCGGGCCACAAAGTTCCATGTTGGTCTCCACAGCTCACAGGACCAGTGTCCCCCATGTGACTTTTACAAACAGCCTTTATTGTGTGTGGTGCCGAGCCCCAGTGATCCAGGTCCCAAACCTCAGTGTGAGAGAGTTAAAGAGAAATGGGCCAGAAAATTTGCTTGCGAGTGGTACCGCCCACAATAAAATTGTGAAAAAACGCATCTGTGCATACGTCAACCGGCGCAAGCTCCATTCATTTAAACAAGTGCCTTAAAAATTCACAGCAAATAAACAAGAGTGGTCCAAAAAAATTCACCCCCCTCAGCATTGACACACATGTGGAACGGAGCTTTGGGCCAAGAGACAACTTTTGGACAATCCTGTAAAGACGTTTTCGAGAGGTCTATGCTATATAGACCTCCAATGCTATATGTTAGCATTGGCTAATTCTTCCGGGTCCACCCCCATCGGCCCGGGGTGGTATTGCAAGCATGTCAGCGCACGTCATTTTGGCCACTTTTGAGCCGGGACCCTCCCCCACTGAGTTAAACGTATGCTTCCCGGGCCCTGCACAGGAGGAGCACCGCGGATGCTCCTCCTGCAGGACAAGAGGAACACAGTGCTAACCAATAAGTGAAGTTTAGAGCAGGACAAGATTGAACAAAAAGCTTCAGAATATATTGCAGAAACATGTAGATGTATAGAAAACCCATTGGTTTTAAAAGAAGAAGTGAATGATGACCAATTCTTAAATCTCCACAGAATCCTCCTCTGAAAAATCTGTGGGTTCTATGCCAGTAGAAGACCAGCCCTTTGTTCCACAGTCTTCCCTTTTCAGATTTATAACACTGTGATACTCACTGGCTTCGAACACAAGGGCGTTAGCTTTAGCCATTGCACGTTTGTAGCACAGGAAAAGGGCGGGGCCAAACTGTGGACACACAGAACATAAGGTCAATTATACAGTGACACAGACTGTGACATAAACACTGACACATTACACAGACTGTTACATAGACCGTGATACAGACAGTGATACAGACTGTGAAACAGACTGAAACAGACTGTGAAACAGACTGAAACAGACTGAAACAGACTGTGAAACAGACTGAAACAGACTGAAACAGACTGTGAAACAGACTGTGAAACAGACTGTGAAACAGACTGAAACAGACTGAAACAGACTGAAACAGACTGTGAAACAGACTGTGAAACAGACTGTGAAACAGACTGTGAAACAGACTGTGAAACAGACTGTGAAACAGACTGTGAAACAGACTGAAACAGACTGTGAAACAGACTGTGAAACAGACTGTGAAACAGACTGTGAAACAGACTGTGAAACAGACTGTGAAACAGACTGAAACAGACTGAAACAGACTGTGAAACAGACTGTGAAACAGACTGAAACAGACTGTGATACAGACTGAAACAGACTGTGATACAGACTGAAACAGACTGTGATACAGACTGAAACAGACTGAAACAGACTGAAACAGACTGTGAAACAGACTGTGAAACAGACTGTGAAACAGACTGTGAAACAGACTGAAACAGACTGTGAAACAGACTGAAACAGACTGAAACAGACTGAAACAGACTGAAACAGACTGTGAAACAGACTGTGAAACAGACTGTGAAACAGACTGAAACAGACTGTGAAACAGACTGTGAAACAGACTGTGAAACAGACTGAAACAGACTGTGAAACAGACTGAAACAGACTGTGAAACAGACTGTGAAACAGACTGAAACAGACTGTGAAACAGACTGAAACAGACTGTGAAACAGACTGTGAAACAGACTGTGAAACAGACTGTGAAACAGACTGTGAAACAGACTGTGAAACAGACTGAAACAGACTGAAACAGACTGTGAAACAGACTGTGAAACAGACTGTGAAACAGACTGTGAAACAGACTGTGAAACAGACTGTGAAACAGACTGTGAAACAGACTGAGAAACAGACTGAAACAGACTGTGAAACAGACTGTGAAACAGACTGTGAAACAGACTGTGAAACAGACTGAAACAGACTGTGAAACAGACTGAAACAGACTGAAACAGACTGAAACAGACTGAAACAGACTGTGAAACAGACTGTGAAACAGACTGAAACAGACTGTGAAACAGACTGAAACAGACTGAAACAGACTGTGAAACAGACTGTGAAACAGACTGTGAAACAGACTGTGAAACAGACTGTGAAACAGACTGAAACAGACTGAAACAGACTGTGAAACAGACTGAAACAGACTGTGAAACAGACTGTGAAACAGACTGTGAAACAGACTGAAACAGACTGTGAAACAGACTGTGAAACAGACTGAAACAGACTGTGAAACAGACTGTGAAACAGACTGTGAAACAGACTGAAACAGACTGTGATACAGACTGAAACAGACTGTGATACAGACTGAAACAGACTGAAACAGACTGTGAAACAGACTGTGAAACAGACTGTGAAACAGACTGAAACAGACTGTGATACAGACTGAAACAGACTGTGATACAGACTGAAACAGACTGTGATACAGACTGTGAAATAGGGATGTAAATCGGTGACCGTTTAACCGTTAGTTGACCGTCACAGCGTTAACCGCTCTCTCCCCTCTGTTACCGCTTGCTAGTTGCACACTGGTGCAGGTCAGAACTACAGCTTATATTTACACACACATACATGTATTGTACACACATACATGTATTGTACACACACACATACCGGTCTCTCGTGCTCCAGCCCAAAGGAATCCTCGCAAATACGCGGCTCCAGTCAAACCACATGAAACATGTTTGTGATTATGGTCCTTGGCATCAGCTCTACACACATAACTTTTAAACTTTAGCGGAGACCTGCGAGACGTGTCACTCGCTGCTCTGACCATGGGAACGAGCCGTCTTTTGCTTAAAAATGCTTTAACCCGCAGCACAGCAGAATGGGAAGATTAAAACAGCAGTTCTCTGTGCGCAAAGGTGCCGAAGCTGTTGCGGGTTTTGGTGCCGCTGTCTCGCCTCTGATCCAGAACGCAGAGCTGCACTTATGGAAAGTACGCGCCTCAAAATGGCTGTTATTTTAAAGAACCTGGAATATTTTAAACTACGCGGTTAACCGGTTTCAACCGGTTAAAGCGGCTCGTGGTCGGTCATGAAAATTAATAGTTTTTTACATCCCTTCTGTGAAACAGACTGTGATACAGACTGTGAAACAGACTGTGATACAGACTGTGATACAGACTGTGATACAGACTGTGATACAGACTGTGAAACAGACTGTGATACAGACTGTGATACAGACTGTGATACAGACTGTGATACAGACTGTGATACAGACTGTGATACAGACTGTGAAACAGACTGTGATACAGACTGTGATACAGACTGTGATACAGACTGTGATACAGACTGTGATACAGACTGTGATACAGACAGTGATACAGACTGTGATACAGACAGCGATACAACAAACAGCCTGTGATATAGACTGTACACACCATGCCCGTGTTGAGGTTCTGCTCCACCCTGCAGAAGGTGTGAGGGGCTATCTCTCCTTTCGAAGGCAGCAGAAGTGCGATGTCGGTGACCCCCAGAGCGTGGGAGGAGTCGGGGGCCCGTCTGTAGGTGATGAAGACGCGGTGAGAAGAGGGCCCCCCCGAGCTGAGGGATGCAGAGCGGCTGTACGGAGTGGTCTCAATCACAAACCAGCCGGGCTTCAAGTGCTGCTTCCCCTCGTACAGCACCCTGGGGAGACATGTCCTCATATGCTCATATTCATACACCAGGTTCTGTCCTTAAATGGTCCAACACTAGGTCAAGTCCTTATAAAGTCTTACCCCAAGTCAAGTCCTTATATACTCCTACCACGGTCCAGTGCATGTAGATGGTCTTTGGTCTTACCCCAGGTCCAGCACGGGCGGCTTGTCGTGCCCGCGCCTGTAGCAGAGCAGCAGGTGTGGGTTGTTGATGAGTCCTGCGCTGAGCTCTGCGCTGTGGCCCCCTAGTGTTCGCTCGATGCAGGTGAAGCCCTCGGGCACTCCCTCTCCCAAGCCGCGGGCAATCACCACCAGGTCTGTGACAGGCTCCGCCCCTCGACCCACACCCCTGCTCTCCTCCTCCAGGGGGCGCCACGGGCCGCAAGGGTCTAGCCCCGCTACCACGAAGTAATCCACCAGCTGCGGACATCGCTCCTCTGTCATGCCGCCACAAGAGACGGATCTGCGGAGGGCGAGAGAGTTCCATTCCATTTATTTGGGTATAGCCCTAAATCGCAACAGCAATCGTCTTGGAGGACTTTCCAATTTTTTTCGGTTCGCCAGAATAGTTTGAACACAGGAAATGCAATAACAACACACATATAGGAGCCATTAGCCCACAGGGAGCGGGATGACCACTGTCCAGAAATGTTAATAAATGTCCTGGATCATCACTGTCCTTGGACCCTCCTGAATCAGCGAGGAACCACTTAAACAAAAATAAACAGAACTGATCAGTCCGTGAAGATCGCAGTTTGCATAATCCAGGCAACAACAGACGCATCTGAAATCATCCCACCATCCGAACACGGGCTGCAGCACGAGCCTTTCCACTCAAAAAGAAGTGTTGTCTAATTTTGAGTAGAAACTATATAGAAATCACTTCATAATGGTAATGAAAGAAGTGGATAAATCCATTGTTACCTTTTCTCAATATCAAACCATGCAGCAATTGAAAACACTTGAAACATACCCCCAGACTCTCAGCTGCTCACATCATACCGTTTGTCCATTTATGACTGGAGTAGCAATGGCATGTTATCCCTCATTTTAAATCTATGTCTTCTCTTTAAAAATAAATCTATGTTACAGTTTAAGTAGCATGTTATTTCTGAAATATAGCGAATAGGGTTCTGCCAAATGAATTCAAAGATTAACTATGTGAAATTGGTTTAACCCTCCACAATTGGACAAGGTGCCCCCATTAGTTGGCCACCTCTGATTCAGACAGAAGGGACGGGGTGAGTTCTTGAGATCAGCATTGACGGAGCTAAACACTGCTGCGGGTCTGTGATGGCCTCAGCTTCTGTCAGAGGAGAACATAAAGGTTTACCGCGGACGCTGCTCCTCCATCTGCACCTGCGTCCATCACACGCCGCTAACAGGAAGTAGTACAACAGGAAACAGGAAGTAGGCAGTGCTTCCTGATCATGCTCCTCCCCTCGTGTCACTCACCGCGGCAACAGGGGCCGTCACCGCAGAGAGGAAGTGCAGAAATCACACACAAAAACTGTGATACTAACGAAAACAACCAGGCCTCCACGAGTCAGGAAACATATCTATAAGTCCCTATCGCTCTCAAAGAGACAAGAAAGAGACCAGGGAGATACCAGAGAGAAAGCCCAGAGACTACAGAAGCAAGCCAGAGCAGTGAGAGAGATGCTAGAGAGAGACTAGAGAAAGACCAAAGCAAAGAGAGACCAGAGTGAGATCACAGTGAGACCAGAGAGAGAGAGACACCGGAGAAAGACCAAAGACAAGAGAGATAACAGAGAGACTGAGTGAGTTTGTCCAGATAACTGTAGTAGAACCCTTTTTTAACAGAGACCAAAGAAAAAAATCAATTAACATCTCCTTAACGACCTGTTAAAATGTACCCAGACTAAGATGAAAATGTCTGCAATTCATGTGATTGCTTTTTTATTATTTCAAATTTTTTGAAGTTTTAATTTTTGCAAAAGAGCCATTTTTTTGCGCTTTTGTTACCACTGAAATTATGTTTAATCTCGCAGTTAAGACTACAGCACTGCTGACCACACACAGGTCTGAACAGGAGGAAGTGAGACCGAATCAGGACGTGTTTAGAAAAGCACCACAGCTGCTAAAACAGGTGCAAACAACCCACTCACAGCTAGAGGGTCCTGGGGTTGTATCTTTAAAACCACAACAATAGATATCTGTAATAAAATCCATGACTCTAGTCTGTGTCTCTATGTCTACTTTGCATAATGACAGCGTAATAAGCCGCGTTTACACATACTGTCCTTATAATGTTGGGGAAAAAAAGGTTGGAAAGTGTCTATATTGCTCCACATGGATTCTAAACTTGCTGGTCTCCCTCTCACTCACTCTGGTCTCACCCTCTCTGGTCTCACCCTCTCTGGTCTTCCTCTCTCTTCTCACCCGCTCTGGTCTCACCCTCTCTGGTCTCACCCTCTCTGGTCTCACCCTCTCTGGTCTCACCCTCTCTGGTCTCACCCTCTCTGGTCTCACCCTCTCTGGTCTTCCTCTCTCTTCTCACCCGCTCTGGTCTCACCCGCTCTGGTAATAATAATAATAATAATAATCTTTATTTATATAGCACTTTTAAAAACAGTGTTTACAAAGCGCTGCACAGTCAGCATGATAAACAATAAAAACAGTCATAATGCAAGGTCAAAATAATTAGATACAGAAACACAAAGCAAACAGAGCAAAACACAAAAGAGACTCAACAAAGACAAAGCAGACAATAAAATACAGCATCGGAAGTTTAAAACTAACAGTTAAAAGCTGTTTGATAAAAGTGGGTTTTAAGAAGAGATTTAAAAGAGGATACTGATGGTGCTAGCCTTATCTCCTCGGGCAGGTCGTTCCAAAGCCGAGGAGCCCGGACAGAGAAGGCTCGGTCACCTTTCGTCCGGAGCCTCAACCTTGGAACAGTCAACAGGGACCTGCCCGAGGATCTAAGGCTGCGGGGGAAGGGCTCGTAGGGGGTTAAAAGTTCAGAAATATAGCTGGGTGCCAGACCTAAATGAGCTTTAAAAGTAATCAGTAAAATCTTAAAATCAATTCTAAAACACACAGGGAGCCAGTGGAGGGACGCTAAGACAGGGGTGATGTGCTCCCTTCTGTTAAAACCAGTGAGAAGTCTGGCTGCTGCGTTCTGGACCAGTTGGAGGCGGGAGAGGGATTTAGCGTTGAGATTGGAGAGGAGGGAGTTGCAGTAGTCGAGGCGGGAGAAGATGAGGGCGATGACGACTTTATGGAAATCGGGAGGAGTGAGGATGTTTTTAATCTTTGAGATTGTGCGGAGGTGATAGAAGCAGGATTGGGTGGTTTTATTGATGTGGGAGCGGAAAGTGAGGTGAGAATCAAAAATGACACCGAGGTTACGGGCGGAGGGAGTGATGTTTGAGGAAAGGTCTCACCCTCTCTGGTCTCACCCTCTCTGGTCTCACCCTCTCTGGTCTCACCCTCTTTGGCCTTCCTCTCTCATCTCACCCTCTCTGGTCTCACACTCTCTGGTCTCACACTCTCTGGTCTCACACTCTCTGGTCTCACACTCTCTGGTCTCACACTCTCTGGTCTCACACTCTCTGGTCTCACCCTCTTTGGCCTTCCTCTCTCATCTCACCCTCTCTGGTCTCACCCTCTCTGGTCTCACCCTCTCTGGTCTCACCCTCTCTGGTCTCACCCTCTCTGGTCTCACCCTCTCTGGTCTCACCCTCTCTGGTCTCACACTCTCTGGTCTCACACTCTCTGGTCTCACACTCTCTGGTCTCACACTCTCTGGTCTCACACTCTCTGGTCTCACTCTCTCGGTCTCACCCTCTCTGGTCTCACCCTCTCTGGTCTCACCCTCTCTGGTCTCACCCTCTCTGGTCTCACCCTCTCTGGTCTCACCCTCTCTGGTCTCACCCTCTCTGGTCTCACCCTCTCTGGTCTCACCCTCTCTGGTCTCACCCTCTCTGGTCTCACACTCTCTGGTCTCACACTCTCTGGTCTCACACTCTCTGGTCTCACACTCTCTGGTCTCACTCTCTCTGGTCTCACACTCTCTGGTCTCACTCTCTGTGGTCTCACCCTCTCTGGTCTCACCCTCTCTGGTCTCACCCTCTCTGGTCCTTCTCTTTGGTTCTCTCTCTGGCCCTGGGTTAGCCTGGTCTTACCACACCATCATACTAATTTCATTTCGTACTTGGTCTGGATTTGCTCAATTGCGGTGGGAGGTGGGAACTCCTTTTGCAGATTTAAACTATTGGATCTGAGTCTACTGTGACGTATGTAATGCGCCCGAGTGAGACAGGCATTTAGCATTAGCCTTGCTTTAGCGTTTAGCTTAGCTTTAGTCTTCTCCTTTGACACTAACGGAGCTGGTGGGGAGTAAAGCCACAACATCTTTGCCAGCACTGAAATTTGCTAAACATTTATCTTGCTCCGGCTTCAATTTCTTGATATTTGGTTTGGAGCCGAACCATAACGGATAACTTTACTATTGCATTCGCCGCCATTGCCAAACTACAACAAGCAAATTTAGGGTGTATTCAGACCTGCACATTTGCTCCACTTTAAACGGACCAGGATTCGTTTGGAACTCTGATCCGAAGCTTTTATGCAGGTCTGAATACACACAAACGAATCCTGGTCCGGACCAAAGAACCGAACCGAGACCCACTTTTTGAGGTGGTCTCGGTCCGCTTCCAAACGAATTCTGGTCCAAGTCGAATCAGGTCTGAATACATCCGGTGTCAATCCGACACAACTCCAAGATACGTGTGCATTTTTTGGGCTTAACAAGCCGCAGACAGAAACTGAGGAATTAGCCATGCGTCACAGCGGCTAACTATGCTGCTAACTATGCTGCTAACTATGCTGCTAACTATGTTGCTAACGCTACACAACAACAATGAGCCGTGTGCAGACCTGGAGCAGTGAGGAGACGCTGTGCAACAGGCTTATGGAGTTACAACTGTTCACAGTTTACAGTGATGTTAATGGCAGCATCGTCAAACCATTTGCATTATTAAAAGCCTGACACTGTTTGACTCACGTCTCAAAGAGCAATATTCCGCATCATGTAGTGAATTGTGTTCTTTGGTTCCTACCTGATCCTCAGCGTCTGTTTGTCCCGTTATTATCATAGATCCATGTGTGGGACAGGACAGGACACGGAGCGCACAGACAGTCTCCTTTGGCTTTCTCCTCACGCATTCTCCGACGCTGTTCCAATATTTAAAACAACGTGTTTCGCCTGTGTCGTATGAGCTGCTGTTGAAGGTGGTTTTGCTCTAAAAACATAGCAAACAGAGGCAGAGCAGACATGCTGCACATACGAGCCCTCAATGTTTTCCTCCGGTTCCGCGTCTATCCTCCGTGAGCTCTCTCTGTCCAATAGGAGCCGATCGTCACACGTGTCAACATGTTCATATAAAAAAGTTAACTTGCAAAAAGGACAGTCTGAATACGAACCGGAGCAAAAGA